ATTCTTACTTTACAGCATTTTTTCTCACCTGCCTAAAACTTTTGCACAGTACTGTATATTGGGGACAATCGGAAACGAACAGTATGTATTCTTTGCTTTCCCCAGAACGTGAACTCTTCTCATGAACATTTTTGAACTTGTTTTGTCCAGTGTGAAATATGTAAATATTGATTATCAGAGTATATTGTGCTTCTATTTTCTTTACTTATTTTAGTCCCCCTTTCTCTTGTTCTTATTTCCTTATTTTCTTTTTTTATATTTTGTTTTCCTTTAAAACTTTGATTTACCTTTCCTTTTGCAATATCATTAAGTATGTTAGGTATTTTCTACATCCATCTTCAGTGTTTGTGATCTGAACAAATAACATGGCTTGTCATGTTTTCCCTCCTCCTCCAGGTCAAACTTATATTTTCAAAAGAAGCTGCAAAACCAGTAGCTCCACGGATCCTCCCAAACCCACCGGCAGCGGCAGCGGCAGCGGCTGCTGTGGCTGTAAATCCCCCTTACAGTCTTCGAACAGCCCCACCAGCTACTCTTTTTCAGACTTCTGCACTTCCTCCATCACTTCTTCGACCCGCCCCCGGACCTATACGGACGACCCACACACCTGTCCTCTTTGCTCCATACTGAACTCCATCAAGGAATTAATTGTACTGCAATAATTTTTCAGAGCAAAAGCAAAACAAGGACAATGAACTATGCAGTGTTAATTTATTGTGATATTGATATTGATATATATATATATATATATATATATATATATGGAGAGAGAAGACTTTCGACAGAGACCTGAACAAATTTTAAAGAGATAAAAGTGGCCGCATTTTCTTCCAGTGAGAATCTTACAAGTCATCCTGCAACATTGATTGATTTTGTGTGTGTGTGTGTGTATGTAAAATGAATAAATATTCATATATGTAGTATATATGTATATGTATACAAATACACACACACACACACACTAGTATTGGAGTAATTTTGACTGTGCATTTTGGCACAGGTCTTCCCTGCAGTGACTTTCTTGCTTATGAACAACTAAACAGAACTGTTTAAAGGGCAATAACTGGTTCCAATGTACATAAAATACTTACTTCTGTAGAATAAAAAGGGAAAAGGAACAGAAACACTGTGAATACTAGTACTCTTACCAATGCTTCTGCCAAGTCAGCATTTCCTGGGTATTTATCTGACTAAAAGTAGATACAATAGATACAATACTGTAATGTTCATAAGCTGAGAAGACATAATGGACATCTTCCTTCGTTGACAAGTTGCTACAATATCTGTGAGCCTAGGTAGGAACCTTAGCCGGTCACTCTACACACATCTTCCCCTAGGATACATCCTACGCAACACAGCAGAATGTACAACAGAGTAAACAAGCAAATTAAGAAGGCAGTGGCAAGACACTTTTGCTTTGTTGCCAAGTAAACCAAATTGATGTATTTATATAGTTACAAGGAGTCAAGCTTGACTCAAAAGAGATTTTATTTACAACAAATGTAGATAAGGTTGCAGTATTAGCTTCTCTCTTGTATTCAGGATTTTCCAATCAGTTATATCATCATTTCAGTGGAAACTTTAATCTTGAAAGCAGCTAGTTGGAGATTTCTTTCTGAAGGGCAGCCTATCCACCCTGCCACCTTTGCCTCATCGCAAGTGGCATTTTACATTTCCCTGGACTTTTACATGTAGATATAATGTTAAAGAAATAGAGTGCTGATGGTTCAGGACAGACGAAAAAGTTCTACCATACGTATATGTTCTTGCACACGCTGCATGGATTGGGAGAGGCAGAAGTGGCAATAGAAGAAGTCTGTAGTGACCAGTCAAGGTACAGGCAGGAGAAATTGACCCTTATTCCATAGTTAAGGAGGTAAAGGAATCAGGGCCCATAGCTGGTGAAGTTACCTGGCAATGTTGAGGCAGGGCATCTGTATCATCTCTTAACTAGAAGCAACCTCTTAAATAGTCCAGTGGTGACCTGGTCTCCTGTGCTCCTAACATCCCCATGAAACAGGTCACAGGATTTTCTTTTCCTCAAGTCGACCCTTCGTGGTAGCAGCAGCCAATGTCTGCCTTGCCAAATGCTTCTGGATTTTATATCACTGAAATATCATGTCTCCCCTACCCCAGTTCCTGGAATTTCAAGTTTGCCGAGGTAAAATAATATTTTAAAAATCCCATTTCCTCTTTAGCAGAACTAGAATCTCATACTAGATTGGGAAGAGGAAATAAATCTAAAACCAAATTAAGACTGTAGAATAGATAACGCCAGCTTTTTGTAATATGGAAGACATTACATGTTTCAGCAGATTGAGGTAAATATAATGATTAGACAGGAATAATACAACAGTGTTGGTTATAGAAATAACAAAAGGAAGCCACAACATAAAAGATTTGTGAAGTAGTTTGTTTATACCACACAGAGAGGTTGTGGTAAAAATAACATACATTGCTACTGATGGGATCTAATGTAAATCTAAGTTATGTCTTATTGGAAAGCCATGCTGTGTGGAACAGACGCAACCCTTGGACCAGAAACGTTGCATCTGGCTTGTGAGTTGCAACCTTAAGGATATGCGTTCACTGTGAGGCATTAAAAAAATGAAGTATTGGAAATCTATAGAGCTATATTGTATATATGTTAGAGTTCAAAATAACTTATGCAGAGAAAACTATATAAAAAAATTAAACCAAGCCATTCAGTTTTAGAAAAGGCTTATGAAGTGGTTGGCAAGAAGTAGCAGAGAGGATGGGAAAGAAATGTACCTGTTCTGAATCTCTGATATTTGCTGCTGACATTTTCTCGGAGAAATGAAATGGTCAGCTGCTCAGCCAGAAGCAGCCATTCTGCTATACAGCTATGATGCTTACAAGTAGATTTTAGCAACCAAAAAAATAGACCACATTATAAGCTGAGTGGAGAGCAGGAGCTTAAAGATTACTCATGAAATACTAGTTATACAAAAGCAGTCTCCATACATTTGCCACATTCATGTGTGTCATTGTAGTAACAGTAGTTATTATTTTTATTTTTGATTATCGTTAGCATACACAGTCAAACACACACACCATTTAGTTCACTGGTTCTAGGCTGTGTAGCAATTCAGCTTTAAAGAGAAAATAAGTTGGCGGGAGCACTATCATCGCATCAGTCTGCAACTCTTTAAAACAGCTGTGTCTATTCCTGGAATCATGCAGCTACCTTTCACAGCGACTGGGTTATTGCTGTTCTTAGCACTTGTCCCACTCAGTTGGCAGGGTCAGCTTGTTTTGCATTGCACTCCCTGTAGCGAATAGTTATCAGTGCATGATCCAACAAGTGGGTGTGTTCTTCAGCTGGCTTGTTGCAGCTCCCGATGCTGATTTAGGACAGAAAGGGAGTGACTGGTCTAAGGCATCCCAACTGGCTTCTGGGCCTAGTCCAGCACCTTAATCACTACACCACCTGTCAGCCCTTTGAAGTAGCCTCAGCAAGAAGCACCAACCATGAGTATTAACACTATTATTGTAAGGTTACAGTAACAGAATCTTGCAAGTCTGAAAGTAGCACTCCCCTTCCTTCCTTTTACTCTTCTAAAACTACAGAGAGTCTCTTCTGAGATACTTTCTCCACCCCACCCCTTCTTCAGGCTCAGATATTGTTTGTCAGATTGTTGTCTACGCTGAGGCTCTTCCTCCCGTCTCCCAAGGTCATTCCCACATACCATTACACCACACTAGTTCTCCTTACAGCTGCTGTGTGATACTAAAAAAAGACACATTAAGTTTGATGGGTTGTTGACAAGTGTCACATGAGTGGCTGTAATTTTTCTCTTCAAATCTGAAGCACTGCATGACCCTGATTAGTATTTTGATGGTTGGTTTTAGAAAAGTTGGGGTGTGGGTGTATGCACACATCCTTATGGATCAATCCGTATATATACAGTGGTACCTCGGGATACGAACTTAATCCGTTCCGTGACTCTGGGCGTATCC